AAACACGTTACCAAGACAGCAAGACTTCACTCCATACAATAAAGAAACTATTGACACAAAATAAATAATGACAAAACTAATTTAAAACCCTCTTCCATTTAATTTCCGGTCTGGTCTATGGTCTCTAGCTTACGTAATTAGAACCAAATCTTACAATAATAAAGGCAAAAGTCATCTCCATCTTCTTTGGATGCGTCTTCTTTTTCTACTTGGAAAAGGAAAATCTATCTATTTTTTTCGAAACATGGAAAATCTATCTTGGTATCTTACAATAACCAATGATCCAAGTTATATCTAAAATGAATTAATAATAAATTCGTTTCATTTGTATATATTTCTATCCGTACCATAGAACCAAGTTTCGAATTAGAGATTATAAAAAAATACAAATTTGAGTCTCACTTTTGGGATTGATAAACCCAAAGATTTTAGACCAAATCCCGTACATCTATAGACAGGATATGCAAGCAGTTTTAATATCTTCGAAGAAAATTTAAACTAGTGTTATTTTTTTAGGAACCACGAGTCCAATTCTTTTTTTGTTTCCTAATCATTTTTAATAACTTAGTCAACTCTTTTTCATTCTGGTCATGTTAAAGCATCTCAAATGGTATACCAAATCCTACACAAAACCTATTTTTTGGTGTAAAATCCTCTCCAACCCAACACTATTTTTAACACTATTTTGGTGTTGAAATTTTTTATTTATAAAAATATCTTTTAAATTTTAATAAACTTTAAAATTAATGAAAAACATATACAAATTGTGATGGTTAAACTCAAAATTTAATATGTTTGATAATAATTAAACAAAACTTTAATATATTTTGTAAGTTTGTATGTTACAATGTATTTTTTATATAATAAATGTTAAATTTAATTTATTTCTTAATTTTTTAAACTTAAAAAAATAAATGGGGTTGATTTGTAAATTTTAAATAATTGAAAAAAGAATCTATTAAAAATATTTTATTTTGGTGTAAAAATTAGTATAAACCATTGGAACAAAATCCAATACTATTTTAGTGTTATTCCATTTTTGATGTAAAAAATGGTGTAAACAATTAGAGATGGTCTTAACGAGTCGATAAATAAAAACACGAAAACACGAATTATATTGTTACCAATTGAAAATTTGCTCTGGTCATCAGCATCTCAATGGAATACGACATCAACCACAACACTGAAGTAAATACCACTTATTAACACAACCAGATTAAAAAAAAAATTGAACGATTAAATAGTCATCCAAACTATATGATATATAAAACCATAAATATATAAATCCCTCGTTTCATGATCAATGACATTTCAAAGTTTTGCCGCCCAATAGACAAAAGAGAGAAAACAGAGTTTCCTCCTCAATATTAGTGAGACTGGTCGGGTAGGTGACTAACGAGAAAATGCATGTTGACTATATATTTTAACGGTCCAATTATAAA